TGTTGAAGATAAAAATGTAAAGTTGCGGCATCTTGGTGGCTCACTAGATAGCATATATGTTATTTGAGAAATCGTGTTTCATAACGATGTGAAGATGATTATTTCAAAAAGAAAAACCCTGTGAGGATGATAATGCTTTTTCATTGTCTTTCTATTTAATTTTAAGAGTTTTTTATGTTAAGCTTAGTTGGTTTGGTTTGTGATATCATCTTTGGCTGACTTTTGGTTGGTTGATTGTATGTTATTAGTTTGACTTCTTCTAAGTTTTACTCTGAAACATTGCTATTTATTTATAGGGCACGCAAACTTTGACTGTGATTATCCCCTAGATTATTATTTTTTGTTTAAAAATGAGTAAACTAGATTGGAAGAAAAAACAAAAAAGAATATGAGTTAGAACTTTGTACAAATCTTGTTAGTTCATTGGTAGATCTTGTCTTACTTTGTTAACTAAATGGTTCTTATATTTGCGCATTAACTATTCAAAAGTAAGTGAGGAGTTTCTTTCTATTTTTCACTCTGTTCATGGAAAGCTGCTTGCAATAGCCCTTAAACCCTCAGCCTTTGAGTGAAGTGGAGGACATGAACCAACTCCACTAGAGTTGGTTTGTAATAGATAAGTGAGAAGTTCCGAGTTACATCAGATCAGTATAACTGATGAGCAAATAATGAATATGTGTTGATACCATCTCTTACAATTAAATTTTGTTAATTGGTTTCCATGATTTTTTCTGTGATGGATCAGTGTCATCTGTTAATCACTTGTGTATAATCCAAAATTTTAACTTTGAATGGGACAGGGATTTCGGTATGTTGCATCTGGTCCAATGGTCAGGTCATCATACAAGGCAGGCGAATTCTACATCAAGTCCATGATAGAATCAGATCGGGCTGCATCTTCTTCATAGGTTCCTATCACTTTTAAAATCTCTTTCATTGTTTATTCCACATGGTCTCCTTAATACTTTTACTTTTCTTATTGTTCAAGCGATAATCTGCCAACAACAATCTCAATGAGCTCAGCTCATGTTTGCCGTTAACGATTAAATTTAGAAGAGAATGAAAATTTCAACTTTAGGGATCAACCACGTCAGCCTGTTGCACTTTGGAACCAATTGTATTGTTCAATTTGTAGCTGGTTCCATTGTATATCTGTAATTACTATTTTTTGTTTGCTGGTGTTACATTTGAATCTTCAAAATTATTTTGCAACATTTCAGAGGCATGATCTATGCATGTTTACCGCAGTTTTTTCCAGAATAAGATGTGTGTGCAGTTTAACTGGTACAAACTGTCGGATGCTGCCATAATCTAATTGGTACGGTAAACTTACTGTTCTCTTTTCTATATTGTAGTGGTAAATTTTGTTTAACCTGATTGAATAGCTATTTATGTTACTGTCCCTAGCTTATCAAATTCATAGTTGTATGTTCTTTCTTTCCTTCTGGTGGATAACTAGAGAAATGGTAATCATTCAAATGGTTTTTCCTTCCGGGTTGATGCTATTGGTTCCACAGGCTGCGTATTGCCTATACAATGTAGCAGTAACTTGGTAGTAAAAGTAAAAATTTAAAGTTACGATAGATTGCAAATTGTGTAGAGTTAATTCATGGGTAGTGAAAGTAAAAACTTCAGTTAACTTGGTCTAATAAAAGTTCCCATAGATGGGACATATGTGAAATTGAGCAAGATTCTTCTTCTAAGAAATCTAGAGTTATTAAGTAACAGAAGCATGCGAGAATGGGTCCATTCAAATCCTCAAAAGAAGAGATGTTACAAACAGTGTATGTAAATTATTTGTCTAGAGGCCTAGGCTTCTCCCCCAACAAGAAACTTCGAGCACCATGGATCAACTTTTTGCATAAAACACACTTGAGACCTTTATTACTTTTTTTGTTTTTAAATAAAGTACATTTTGACGGATTAGTTTGTGCAAATTCAAACAATGTAATTCTTTGTGGATTGATTATTTTTCAAGGGGAAAAAGGGTTTCAAATTAAATTTAATGGATTCTAGAACGTGGAGAAGGAGAAGGAAAGGAAATATATTTATAAAGTGATAAATTTTACGTTCTCACTGAATAATTTTAATACCTATATTATTTAAAATACTGAGTATTGAAGTAATTATATTAATGCATTGTTTAGAAGTAATAGTCACTTGTGACTTATATTAGAGAATTAGTACTCCCCAACATCTTTTGTTTTAAGCTCATAATTATGAGTTCAAATTTAAGCAATATTAAAAAAAAAACATTATGAGGTTTGATTACCACTAATTGTAATTTAATTAATTACATATATGTTACATTTTAGGGGTGAATGAGTAAATATACGAGAGAGTCGTCCTTAAAAAAGAAAAAACAGTGTAGTTGTCCTTCTCAAGTGTCTTCTGAATAAACAAATGCCCTCGTCTCTCTCTCTCTCTCTCTCTCTCTCACCCTGTAAAGCTTCACAATATAATCAAACCCATCATCTTCCTCATTTCTCTGTTTTTAATCTTTTTTTGTTTTAGAGGTTAATGGAGTAGACAGTTCACTCAATCCCTCATCCTATCTGTGTCTCTCACTCTCCAATTATTTTCTCATCTACCCATCTTCATTAAATACCTTAATCCTCCCCCCAACATTCTTGTGCATCACCTAGCCAGTCATGGCTGCGGCTTCTAAAGCTCTACCAGTTTTTCTTGCTTCCTTTAGCTTTTCTTCTCTTTTGCTTCCTTTAGCCGTTTGATTCTTCTTTCGTTGATTATAATCCGTTGCACTTGCAGATGGGTTGCTGCATTAGCACCCAAAGAGACCCATCTCTTTCAGATCCACAACACCCTACTCTTTCTCCATCCAAACCAGCCGCCATTAACAGAGGTCCACCGCCTTCATTTGAAGAAGAAACGGTGAAGGAAGTACTGGTACTCTCTGAAACACCAATCCAAAAACCACTCCCCAAGGCCACCTCAATCCCGGCGATAACGAATCAAGAATGCAAATCCCTCAAGAAAAACGAGGATGAAGACAAAACCCCTGAGCTTTCTCAAGTCTCGGAGATTTGCAGCGTCACCGAAAGTTACTCGACGGCGACGACCACGACAACGGCAACAACAGTCACGGAGAAGAGAGAAGATGAAGCGATGAGCAAAATGAAACGACACAACAACAGATCTCCTGCTAAGGTACCCAGGAAGCGTCCGTACACGGGCGGCGAGCTCCACGGAAGAGTGAGGGGAAATACGGCTCCTAAATCTCCGGCGAGAAGAGCCGGAAAGGCTCCAGAGAAAAGGGTTGGTGGACCAAGACCGGTCCGCGGGAGAAACTTGCCGAGCAAGGTAGGAAACAGGAATCAGAATGTGGGTTCCCCATTAGCTCGGCCAGATTCCGGCGAAACGACGGTTAGGCGGTCGAGATCTCCGGCGACGAGGACAGGGGGAGGAGTGGGGAGTGGTAGGATTACGAGGAGTCCGTCGAAGGGTGTTGGAAAGGTTGAGAGAGTTGCAGAAGGAGTGGAGAAGGAGAAAGACGACGGAGTGGGGAGTGGTAGTAGGTTGAGGAAGGAGGAGACAAAAGAAAACGACGGCGTTTTAGAGCATCCAACTGAGTCTCTTGAAAACCCTCTTGTGTCTTTGGAATGCTTCATTTTTCTATGAAAATTTAGTCAACGCGTTATCTCATTGTCAAACAAACATGATGTATTTGTTGAATGCTTCGTTTTCATATCTAGACTTTGAAGAAAGCTTCTTGTAAATTGCAATGTAAATGTAGAGTAGAGTTACTATTTCTTTCATTTCTTTTTGTGGGTTCTTAATATATATGTATATATACATATATATGACGTGGGTTCTTGACATATATGTGTATACGATGATTTTTTAATCACATTAAAGAGTTATTTAAGGAAACGTAGGTTATACGTTTTTAAATTATGGGTCGGGCTTAAAGCCTAAACCAAGTATATGAAAATTTATTGGAGAACTAATTAGAGTTTCCAATATGTGTATGTATTTATATACATGTAAATATATGTGGGGTATGCAATGTAAGTATAGGGATGAGAAAAGAGAAGTGACCGACCGTCATAAAAGCAACATCCTGTCGTGTCTTTTCTTTATAGGAATGGAGGATGGAGGCAGGAGGTTAGTCAGACTTCCTTTCCTTTTCCGCTCCTCGTGATTAGTGTGCACGCCAACTGCTCACTGCACGATTTCAACAGTACCACAAGTTTTAGTTTCACTAGGACAAATATGTTTAAACTAATTTAATAAATCATCTTTATTATATAAATGACTTTTTATAACTGTGGTCAAATCGTAATTATCTTGAATAATAAAATTATTAATAAAATTAATCATTTAAGTTTAGAAATTATGTTTTTACTTGTATTATAATGTATATTCATGCATCAATAATGATAAAATAAAGGTATATTGCAAATCCCTTAAGTCTCTTCAATATCTAGCCGTTTTTACTAACCGCTCTGGATCTCATTGATAAATACCCATACTATTCTCCTTGACTTCTTTCCCTATTTCCCCACACCAGCCAACATCGATCACGATAGCTACTAACGCTGTT